ATTTACTTCAAACTTGGTATCTAGGGGTTTTTTGGGTCGCTGATTACGAATCTGAAGTTAGATTTTCAAAATTTAAAATGGCGGCTCCAATATGGCGGACGATATCGACCCTTCAAAGGTGATAATTCCGCCCTTACACACGAAACTAGGAGCAATTAAACAGTTTGTCAAAGCCTTAGATAAAAAAGGAAACTGTTTCAAATACCTGGAACAAAAGTTTCCAGAAATCTCTGATGCGAAACTAAAAGAAGGGGTTTTCGACGGACCACGTATTCGCAAATTGTTAAAAGATGAGCAATTTATCACCAAGATGAATGAAAAGGAGAAAGCCGCATGGCTTAGTTTCAAAGCAGTTGTCGAAAATTTTCTGGGTAATCACAAGAGTGAAAATTGGGAGCAAATAGTTAGTGATATGATTAAAAACTTTGGTAAGTTAGGATGCTTAATGAGCATAAAGTTGCATTACTTAGACTCGCATCGGGATCAATTCCCTGAAAATTTGGGAGATTACAGTGAAGAACAAGGAGAACGATTCTATCAAGATCTGAAAGAATGTGAGCGTCGTTATCAAGGAAGATGGGATGTAAATATGATGGCCGACTACTGTTGGATGCTGAAAAGGGATATTGTACCTGGAGGCACCAATTTGAAAAGAAAACCATTACACAGATCCTTTGAGGACAAAAGAGTGCGCTACCATAAAAAGACGTAAATACCTTACTTATGTATATAAGAATTTCCATTTCTAGTTTTGAAAATCTAACTTCAGATTCGTAATCAGCGACCCAAAAAACTCCTAGATACCAAGTTTGAAGTAAATCCATCAATTTTTACAAAATTCGTCCGCCATATTGGAGCCGCCATTTTGAATTTTGAAAATCTAACTTCAAATTCTTCATCAGCGACCCAAAAAACCCCTAGATACAAGTTTTGAAGTAAATCCATCAATTTTTTAAAAAAATAGCCTACCTCTCAAAATCCGACAGGTTTTTGGAGGTTAGAAAAAAATCCTGACGTGATGGAGCAAAACGGACTTCGGATTCGTGTTCAGCGCGTCAAAATACATGGGAAATGACTAGTCTGGTCTTCCGCGCACGACACTTTTTTTTGTGGGGCTGTGTTATTATTATTTGTGATCTGGACAGTTAAAAGGGACCTTTTGTCCGAAAAAATCGATTTTTTATTGATTGGTGTTTCTGATAGAGAAAACATTTTTCTATCAGAATCACCAATCAATAAAAAATTAATTTTTTCGGACAAAAGGTCCCTATTAACTGTCCAGGTCACATTTTATCAAATACTGTAGAGGGGAAAGAGAATTCAAATTTTGGGCAAATATGAACAGTGGATTTTTTGAAAAATCTTAACTATTATATAAATTTATTTTTAAATCTTCAAAAATCACATTTTTTTGAAAGTCACAAATAATTTTGAAATTAAAAAAAAAAAATTTCTCTTTTCCTACCCCTTAAAACGAAGCTTCAAATGTATACTTTTAATATATTATATGAATTTAAAAAAATTTATTTTTCATTTTCGAGATACTAATAAGTTAATTAATAAATGTTAATAAAAAATGAAATATTTTATATAAAAATAAAATTAGCGTAATTCTGAACTTATTAATCGAAAGCCAATGAAATTCCACATCCAATAAGCCCACCTATGAAGTATTTTTCTTTAATGGATTTTTAATAAACAATTAATTATTGTTATTGCAATTGTTTATTAAAAATTCATTTATTATTAATAAAGTAATCAATTAAAATATTCATTATTAATATGGCTGGTTGAATGAGGAATTGCATAAACTTTCGATTGGTAAGTTCAGAATTACATTGAATAAAAATTTTATTTAATTCAAATACTCGATTACTTGACTATTATCAAATAAATATTTACTTGAACTAAATAATTTTTATTTGAATTAAATAAATTGCATTTGAAATAAATACCTACCATTTAATTGAATCAAATAATAATTATTATTTGATACAAATAAATATTTATTTGATAATATATAGCTACAACACTTCAAAAATCCACTGTTGACACTATTAAAAACTTTAATCACCTTTAGTTCCTACAGTTTTTTTTATAAAATCTAACAATATTTTTTGGTTGAAGTATTCACCCATAGGGCTAAACTATATGCAAGTTTCATCCAGATCTGAGAAAATTTTTTTTTCAGTTGGATCGCTTCAGGAATTTTTTCTCTTATATAAAATGCAGGGACTGTCTCGAAATATTTGTGTCGTGTACACTGCAAAAAGAAGTATCTTATTTTTAAGATGTTTTGGTCGCCTTTTTAAGATGTTTTTTATAACTTGCTTCTAAGTTATTTAAAACAACTTAAAATGCATTAGTTTCTTAAGATATAAGATGGATAGGAAGATACTTTAAGTAACTTGCTTCCAATGTATCTTATAATAAGATACTTCTTTTTGCAGTGTAGTGTCGCGACTCGACACGTTTGGAAACAATTAATCGTATCGTGGCGGGACCCGACACTTTTAGAAAATTTCAATCGTATTGTGGCGCAACCCGACACGTTTATAAATTCATAATCGTATCGTGGCGAAGCACGATACGTTTAGAAATTATGAGGCTGAAGTCCGCAACGTTTTCAAAAACGAAAATTGTATCGGGGCGCGACTGGACACGTTTACAATTATGAATTTTTTAATGTGTCGGGTCGCACCACGATACGATTAATTGTTTCCAAACGTGCTAAATTGTGACACGACACGACACTTTCTTAAAATTCAACAACATTTCGTGTCCGAGACAGTCCCTGATAAAATTAATGAATTTAACCGAATTTTAATTTAGCAGAATTCTCATTCAACAAAATTTTGAGTGATTCGAATTTTTAAATACCAGATTAAAATGTTTTATTTTCACGAATTGTTATTTGATATAGGGTCAGTTGGGGTAAATAGAAACAAGATATTTTACTAATTTTACTAATTGAATCAGTAAATTTCTACTAATTATCAGTTGCTCAATTCTCGCAATGACAATTAGTAGATTTCTACTGATAATCAGTGAAATATGATTGATTCAGATTTAGAGAGTATATTTATCCCTAAATTTTAGCAAAGTTGAAAAATTTAGGGGTAAATAGAAACAGTTGATTATTGCTATTTAATGATACCCATATTCCATAAAATTGTTCCATGGAAGTTAAATAATAACTCAATACACAGAAAAACCGAAAGTATTGTGATTTAAAAGAAAAAACTTATATTATTGGTGAAACTTAACAAATCTGTTTCTATTTACCCCAACAAGATAGCCGCAAAATTTTATTTTCAAAATTTCCTGACTTTTCCCTGACTAAAAAATTTTTGAATTATTTAATATTCTGCATTGCTGATTGAAATTTTTATAATGCTTTTTAAGTAACAATTTTATTCATAAAGGAAAAGATAAGATAATTAAACATTGTTTGTTAACAAAATTTTATTATATTTAAAACTTTTATTATAAAAAAATTAGGAAAAGAAACAGGCGCAAAGCGCCTACATCTAGGGTTTCGTGGCTTTTTAAATTCAGGTAAAAAGTTATTTGTATATAATAAATAATTTATAATTACATTATTTGTGAATTGCTATGGTTGATATGGTAATGGTTGCTATGGAAACGGTTGCCATGGTAATGGTTGTTATGGAAACGGTTGCTATGAAAACGGGTGCCATGGAAACGATTGCTATGGTAATGATTGTCATGGAAACCATACGAGTGTAGGACGGACGGACAGACAGACGATTGCTATGGTATCTGTTTCCATGGGAACCATTCGAGTGTACGACGGACGGACGGACGCCAAAGCGAAACTATAAGGCTTTCGGCCCTAGGCCACAAAACCCTAAAAAATAAATACTTTGAAAAATGAAAAATCTAACGGCACCATAATCATGAGCTATATTACAAAAACGTCTAAATAAAAAAAACTGATTTGAATCAAAATTCCCTGACTTTTCCCTAACTAACAAAATTCTCTGACTTGCGGCTACCCTGCCAACTGACCCTAATTCGTTAAACGCTGAATTTTAATTTTACAGAAATTCTCTGTACCCAAATATTTAGTTTAAAGAATTAAAAAAATTTTAATTTAACCAAATTTTGATTTAAAAAAATTCTCATTTAACAAAATTTAATCTGAATTTCAATTGTGAGCCTAATTTTTATTCGTTTATTAATGTGACGCTCCACGAGAGAAGGGACCTATCTCCGAAATAATATTAGGCTTATAGTTTTCATGTATGGTGTACGTAAAACTGAGCCTAATGTTATTTCGGGGATAGCGATCGCGATTTTTAAAATTGGCCAATTATGATTTTCTTGCTGATTTCTGATTGGTTAATTTCAAAAATTGCTCTAAAATCTTTCTATCGATTGTTTATTCGGAGATTTAAAATTTCAAAAAATTGGAAAATTCGATGTTTTAAGCATTCTATTAAATAAAAATTCAGTCATTTGAAAATTTGAATCCAATAAAATTTTGTTCAATGAAAATTTAAAAAAATTAAATTTCGGGCAAATTAGAATTCTTTTAAATAAAAAATTGGATAAAAATAAATGCAGTAAAACATAAATTCTACCAAACAAAAATTCGTTACCTATAAAATCAAATTAACGAAAAATTTGTTTAGAACGAAATTCTGTCAAATATATGTTAATTCAAAAAATGATAATTCGTCCTTAAAATAGTTATATCTACACTGAAAAATGTTTGGTGCAGCAGCTGTCCCAAACGAAAAATTTTTATATTCAGTTAAATTCACTCATACAAAAACTCATTGTATTAACTATGAAGTTAATTGAATATAGAAATTTTTCGTTGGTGACAGAGCTGCTGTACCAACATTTTTTCAGTGTATTAAAATTCTTTAAAATAAAAATTTTAACTAATGATTTTTATGGTACAATCATATATGCTCCAAAAATGAAGAAAAGAAAGGGAAAAATTTTACATTCATTTTCTTTCTGTTTAGAATGAAATGTTTGGCTCGGGTAATGATCCAAGATCAACGGTAACACGTAGCAAGAGAATTGGATCATTATCAATCAACAATTCCGTGGATGTATTAAGGCAACGGGTTTTATTGGAATTGGCGCGCAGAAAGGCAATGCAAGATCAATATCAAATTGATGAGAATCGACGTATGATGCAGACAATTGGAAAACGTTCGAGTTCCGATTTTGTGACAAGATATCCTAACAGTGCTAACAATAAGCCATCAAGCAATAGTGGAATTTATGTAATTGAAGACAGGCCAAACGATCGAGATCCAAATAAATCAAATGTTCGAATTTCCGACAGAACACATGTCTGGCTAGAAGGGAATGATCACGATCAGGATCAAGCGCATAGGGTAAATTACATTCCTTTTTCTTTGTTTTTTATTTTTATTCAAATGAATAGTGCTTTAATTAAAAGTTCTCGACGAGCAATTAAAATAATTAACAAAAATTCTATTTTACACAGAGTGTGATAAAAGTATGGAACCCTTTAAATATTTTTGCAAAATGTTTAAAACAATAGTTGTTAGACTTAAAAAAAAATATATTAATTGGTGAAATGATAAATTTTTTAAAAATGGAATCAAATATTTTCAATTTTGAAATTGTTGTGTCTGACAATCTACTGTTTATAGATATATGCAAATTTTTTATCCCAATTTTAAATTTGGGCCTGTATTAAGGACCAAATTATGTTTTTCAGATGTATTGTGGTGTCAAATTAAAAATTATCAAATTTTTATTTAGAATAATTTTATAATGTTGATTTTTATAATGAGCCGAATTTTCATATCGAAGAATTTCTATTTACATTTATAAATTCTGATTCAATATAATTTCTACTTAACTAAACTTTTATAAAACAGATTTTCTAATATTTAAAATTTTCAAACATTACAATTTCCATTTAACAGAATTTGTGTCTAGCAAAATTTTCATAAAAAAGAATTTTTATTTATAAGATTTGTTCTTTTATCCCATAAAAGTAATTATTAGTTAGAATTTTTATTTTAAAGAATTTTATTAAATTCTATATTCTTTCAGATGAATTTTCATTTTTGGAATTTTTAATTTAAAAAAAAATTTTATTAATAGAATTCTAATTTAACCGAATTTTAATTTAGCATAATTCTCATTCAACAAAATTTTTGTGTGATTCGAATTTTTAAATGCCAGATTTTCAATTTCGATTTTTATTTGCTAAAATTGTTAAATTCTGGTATTTAAAAATTCGTCTCCCAATTGAAATTCCGTTAAATGAGAATTTTGCTAAATTAAAATTCGGTTAAATTAAAATTCCTTTAACTAAATAGTTGGGTAAAGAGAAATTGTGTAAAATAAAATTCGGTACGTAAAATTATGTTAAATAAAAATTCGTTCAAAAAAAATTTCCTTCAAATGCTAATTTAAAAAATGAAAATTCGTCTAAAAAAAATTCTATCTAATAAAATTCTTTAAAACAAAAATTCCTACCAATGAATTTTTATGGAATAATCATGCGCCCAATAAATTGTGATCTCATTTTTTTTTAAATCGATTATTATCTCCATTTTATAATTTATTAATAATAAAATTTGTCATTTTCAGGTACAGACGAATGAAGTTCATCTCTTATAAAAACCCAGCGCTAAAGAAAAAAAATCAGCTTTTCCGTCTACGATTTTCCGTTGCGAAAAATAATCGACGGATTCTTTGCTGCTTAAACTTCAATCTTGAAATTTAAGTTTTCCAAACTGATTTTACAATTTATTTCCAATGGATTTCTTTACATATCCAAACAATTAATTTTGAAAAAAAATAACAAACAAGCGATCATTCTTTAATATATTTTGCTATATTTGCGAAATAACGAAGCAGTATTATACTTTGTGATTTTTTTCTACACACTGACGGTTTTTTTTAAATAATTTTTTTTGTACTATTTCCCGTTTTTCTTTTTTTTTGCAATAACTATATAGAAAGTTTATTTATTTTTTTGAGCTTGACCATCAAAATATAAGAAAATAAACGAAGCAGTTTTCTAATTCTCTAAAACTATACAAGATTTGTCATCATCACTTTGAAACCGTAGTCAATCTACTATATCTTTTTTTTTTTTTTTTTTGAAAAAAATAAAATGTGTGACTCAATATATAAGATCATATTGATTTATTCAATTTATTAAGAATTAAGAGAAAAAAAAATAAAAAAAGAAATTAAAAAGAATATAAAATCAAAATTTATTTAAAGATTAAAATTTAATTTAAAATTGTGAGTCGACTGCGACTATATATGATTGGTTCTCGAATTAATATTATATAATGATGAAATGTATTTTATTCATCGCTACAGAATTCTGAAAAATCACACTTTTGAAAAATTAGCGTCAATGTTCTGAAATAATGTACGTACTAACTCCAGATACATCGATGTTATACATATAGAGATGATAGGACACAGAAAGTACGATATTTTCTGTATATGAAAAAAAAAAAAAAAAAAAAAATTCTCTCGCAGTGGAGGAAAACTCGTTTTTAGATGATGTGTGTGAATAATCTAATCGAATAGTTTGTATTCACTGTAGATATTTGTACCATACCACTGCTTATTCTCTTTTGTTTTTACTTTTTTTTACAAAAAAAAATCCATCAATTATTTATTTATTTATTAAATATCTATATATATATATAAATATATTTATTTATTGACGTATGTAGTGTATAGTATATTTATTTCTAGTTGTCAAGCATTTCTTGTTGAACAACACAAAATTCATTAGCGACCAATAAATTTCGTTTCGAAAAGAAGTGTGTTTTTCTTTTATTTTCCTTTCCCCTAATTTAAACTGGGTGTCTAACAACTGTTAGGAAAAAATTTCCCTGACTTTTCCCTGACCTAAATAATTACACTAAAAACTTTTTATTTCGATCAAATAAAATTTATTTTGATATAAATAAATCATTTACCTGTCTATTATCCACTATTTTCAGGTATATTAAGTTGGCGCAACCACATTATCGAAATTACTTTTTACCTATGCCATACACGGAAAGAAAGTTTGTAGCAATATTTGATATTATAGTGTTAATTTTTACTATATTTGATTACAATTGCGGAACATTTTGGCATGATAACGATTTTCGATACTATTTTTAAGAATGATTGAGATTAAAATAAGAATATATAATATAGTTGGAAAGAAAATTTGATATAATATTTACGAAATCTGAAATCTTTTTATTGAAACACAAAAATGTCAAATTTTAATAAGCTCTTTATCAATTTTTCTAACCAAATATTTCAAATTTCGTAATTAGAATTGTATAAAATGATATAATTATTTCAGATTTTGATATATTTGATATGAAAATTGAAAAAGAAATATCAAAGTTAACGAGATTCGACGAAATTTGCCGAAGTTGAACGTTCGGAATTGCCCGATCCTTACCGAGTGGTAACGAAGACTGACGAAGCTCTTTAGACAAACCCCTTTTTACCATTATCTTGATACAGACCTGAATTTCTTTTATATAATTAATTTCCAAGATTTTACAATAAATCAGTAAAAAAAATTGTTCTCCAAAAAATAATAAAATATTTAATTATTTCCCAATAAATAATGATTTTTATTTATATTTTTAAACATGTTTTGATATAATTTCACCTTTCTCATAAGCGGTGAAAAATATGTCTGGTTAGTATATAAGAATGGTCACATGAGCGTAAATTTGTATATGAAGCGTTATTCTGCGAATGTTATACGTATTATCGTTAGTATAGGTTAGGAATAAAAATAAGCCAATCGATGTAAAACAATGCGGTGTATGTGTGTGTGTGCATTTAAAAGTTCATATCCTCGTCTATCCTCGAGATGAGAAAGAAATAAAACTTTGGCGTAGAATCTATTGGTGTTTCTGTCGTCATCTGTCACGACTGAACCACTTCGAATTTTTAGTATAGTTTTAACAAATTTCGAAATAATCTTTCCAAATTTTCATATAAATTTAGTAAATAACGAAGTGCGCGTCGATTTAACTTACTTCTGGTTTTTCGTATAAATTTATCAATTTACGAAATAATAATTTCAATTTCTGGAATATATTTACTAAAAAGACTATTGGTAAAAATATACAGATTTTCGTTATCAAACCCAAATGTTCCGCGTTTGAAAAAGAGAATACTAAAATTTCCTATCAGATTTATCACATATTGCTACTAAATTTCTTTCCGTGTAATTAAGTGCTCATTTAGTGCTAATTTAATGCGAATAGCACAAATTTAATGGTGTACATTTTAAAAAAAAATCATGGTGGCGCCAGCTTAACGTTAAGGTAGCGCCAACACATAGAAAAAATCTCTAAAAAATTTTCTTATTTATGCCATAATTTAGTGCTCATTGAGTGCTAATTTAATGCCAAAAGCACAAATTTAATGCTGCACCCAGAGAATAGATTACTTTGATTTAAAGAAATCAGTTTCTTTGACTTGTTTTATTTCATTCAAAATAAAATTTTCTTTGAAACAAAAAAAGCTTATTAGTTTCAAAGAAAATTGTGCTTTAAATCAAAGAAATTCTAACATTGATATAAAGTCATGGAAGCATTTATTTGAATTAAATAAAAAATTTCTTTTAACGAAGACAAATTTTTTTAATCACAGAAAATTTGTTTGAAACAAATAAATTTTCTTTGAAGCAAAGAAATATTTCTCAAAGGAATTGATTTCTTTAATTCAAAGATATCCTTTTTCTAGGTCCGTTAACCTGGCTTGTCCACATTGTCCGATCTGGATAAAACCTATTTGAAAATTAAGGGCTAATTTAAGGCTAATTTAATGCTCTAATGTCCACAAGTTTTTTAAAAAAAATGCCGAGCATTAAATTCGTCTTGAATTTAATGAATAAAGAAACTGATTTCTTTAAATCAAAGTAATCTATTCTCTGGGTGCAGCATTAAATTTGTGCTTTTGGCATTAAATTAGCACTCAATGAGCACTAAATTATGGCATAAATAAGAAAATTTTTTAGAGATTTTTTCTATGTGTTGGCGCTACCTTAACGTTAAGCTGGCGCCACCATGATTTTTTTTTTAAATGTACACCATTAAATTTGTGCTATTCGCATTAAAATGCACTAAATGAGCACTCAATTATAGTATAGGTAAAAAGTAATTAGTATTACTAATAATTTTTTTTGCCAATAAAAATTAAGATTTAAACGTATTCGGTCAATTTTTAATTTTGTCATCCGCTATATTGGTTCCGCCATTTTAAATTTTGAAAAAAAGATAGCGGATTCCTAATCAGCGACCCCGAAAACCCCCGTGTAACTGGTATCAAGTCAATCGATTAATTTGTAAATTTTTAAATTAAAAAAATGTAAGTGGTTAAACTTGTTTTTGTCTGAAACTTGATTTTGGACAAATCTAACATTTAAAATCTCATATTTTTAATTAAGAGCATAATATTTGGAGAGCACTAAATGAGCACTAAATTATGGTATCAATAAGAAAATTTTTTGCAGCTTTTTTTTATGTGGTGGCGCTACCTTAACGTTAAGCTGGCGCCACCACGGTTTTTTTTTAAATGTACAGCATTAAATTTGTGCTTTTGGCATTAAATTAGCACTAAATGAGCACTTAATTATGGCATAGGTAAAAAGTAATTTCGATAATGTGGTTGCGCCAACTTAATATACCTACTATTTTCAATATGTATTTGAACCAAATAAAATTGTGACGCTCCACGAGAGAAGGGACCTATCTATTTGTGGAGCGCCACAAATAATGTTTCGTAAAAAATAAAATATTTAAGTGAAATAAATAAACTAATTGGGGACGTATAAATATTCTCAATACAGTAGGACTCCGGTTATCCGAGCTAAAATGTGGACCGGACCTACCTCGGATAAGACGAAAACTCGGATAAATGAAACTGAAGCTAGCCGCCTGTTATTCGTTTTTTTTTTGGAACACCTGGTATAAAACATATGCGAATTTCTTCTCCGTCGACTGTAACACAGCCGATTAATTCATTAATTACAATGTAATAAAATTTGATAAATAATTCCCGATTAAAAAATTCAATTTCTGAACAAACAAGCGCATGCGCAAAATCACTTTGAAACAAAACATGCGCAGAAGTGTTACTTGCACTTTATACCTGCGCAGTAGAGATCACAGTGGTATAAACATGCGCAGTAGTGTCCTCAGTGGTTTAAACATGCGCAGAAGTGTTACTCGCACTTCAAACATGCGCAGTAGTGTTCAGTGCATTTCAAATATGCGCAGTAGTGCGCAGCGTATTTTAAACATGCGCAGACATGTTACTCGCACTTCAAACATGCGCAGTAGTGCTCAGCGTATTTTAAACATGCGCAGAAGTGTTACTCGCACTTCAAACATGCGCAGTAGTGTTCAGTGTATTTCAAATATGCGCAGTAGTGCTCAGTGTATTTTAAACATGAGCAGAAGTATTGCTTGCACTACATACATGCGCAGTAGTGCTCACAGTGGTATAAACATATGCAGAAGTGCCCTCAGTAAATTAGGTATGCGCAGAAGTGTTATTCGCACATTCTACATCCGCAGAAATGTTCACAGTAGTATAAACATGCGCATAAATGTTAATCGCACTTTCTACCTGCGCAGTAATGTTTAAAGTGGTTTAAACATGCGCAGAAACGTTAAACGCACTCCCAACGAGCGCAATAGTGCTCAGTAAAGCTCAATGAATTTAAACGTAAACCGATATGTTACTTGCACTTTATATGCTGTCATGCAAAATGAATACCGAAAGGCGCAAAAGTGTCCCAAATAAACAAAAATGCTAAAACGGCTGGTCTTATAGTTTGCTTTGTAGCTTCTGATGGTAGGAAGTATTCCAGTGAAGATTTAATAGGGTAGTTTTGTAGTTTTTGATAAGAGAAAGTTCTTCCTTAAGCATTTAAGAAGAAGAAAGGCTTAAGATTTAAGAGGGAGCAAAGCTTGTGATGCTAATTAAAAAAAATTCTATTAGTAAAATTTGCAATTAATGCAGAAAAATCAGATTTAAAGTTCTCAGGAATTTTTTTCTTATCCTTGATCAGGTGTAGTTTTGTATTCTTTGATGGGAGGAAGTTCTTCAGTAATGATTAAAGGGGGAGCAAAGCTTGTGATGCTGATTAAACAAAATTCTATTAGTAAATTTTGCAATTAATGCAGAAAAATCTGATTTCAAGTTCTCAGAAATTTTTTTTAATTCTTGATCAGGTGTAGTTTTGTAGTTTTTGATGGGAGGATGTTCTTCTGTATTAATTTAAGATGTAGCACAGCTTGTGATGTTAATTAAAAAAATTCTATTAGTAAAATTTGCCATTAATAGAGAAAAATCAGATTTAAAGTTCTCAGGAATTTTTTTCTTATCCTTGATCAGCTGTAGTTTTGTATTTTTTGATGGGAGGAAGTTCTTCAGTAATGATTTAAGAGGGAGCAAAGCTTGTGATGCTAATTAAAAAAAATTCTATTAGTGAAATTTGCAATTAAGCAGAAAAATCTGATTTAAAGTTCTCAGAAATTTTTTTTAATTCTTGATCAGGTGTAGTTTTGTAGTTTTTGATGGGAGGATGTTCTTCTGTAATGATTTAAGATGTAGCACAGCTTGTGATGTTAATTAAAAAAAATTCTATTAGAAAAAATTGCAATTAATGGAGAAAAATCTGACTTAAAGTTCTCAGTATTTTTTTCGTATACTTGATCAGGAGTGGTTTTGTAGTTTTTGATATAAGGAAGTTCTTCATTAATGATTTAAGATGGAGCAAAATTTGTTGAAT